CTCCCGCCTGGGCTGACAGCTCTGCCTAAGTGAGCCCCAGGCTGTTTAGACCTGATTATAGAGGCTTCTGTGACGCCCACTGGGCCAGATCCCTGGCCAGGGTCCCCATCACATAGGGAACTTTAGGGCATTGTGCCGGTCAGAGGGGAGCGGGCCTGGCAGGCACCAGCCAGGCTTTGCCTACTTTCTGCAGTGGCCCCAAGACTGGTTAAGGACCATGTTGGTCATTTCCTGAAGACCTCTGGTAAATGTGTAGGATTTGGGAGTTTGGTGGTATAGGGAAGGAAAGGGCAGAAGATATTTTTGGCTTTTCTCAGCACATGTAGGCAGTCACTTCTGCCTACATAAAGCTGGCCTGGCTCCAAATCCCACAACATCCGGAAGGGTCTTCTGAATCATCCAAAATAGAATCAGCTTTTTGAGGGGAATTTCTGGGTAGAGGATTCAGAACCATAAGACAGTATAGGAAGAGGAAGTGGTAAGCCTTCAGATCTACGATCAGCATCGGAGGTCCAAAGAATATTGGAGTCATTGAATTTTATAGCCCATGGGCATAGAATATTGCCACCATCCACTCAGCCTGAGAATATGGAGAGTTGGCTAAAATCTTACCAAATAGACGATGCTACCCAATAGAAACAGAATGCGAGCCATGTATATAATTAAAAATTTTCTAGTAGCCACATAAAAAAGTGAAATTTATTTTAATAAAATTTTTATTCAACTTTTAATAAAAGTTTTATTCAACTTAATATATCCCAAACAGTATCCTCTCAAAATGTAATCAATATAAAATTTACTAAGGGGATATTTTTTCTTTATTTTTTGTACTCAGTTTTAAAAACCTGGTGTTTTGGGCGCCTGGGTAGTTCAGTTGGTTAAGCGACTGCCTTCGGCTCAGGTCATGATCCTGGAGTCCCTGGATCGAGTCCCGCATCGGGCTCCCTGCTCGGCAGGGAGTCTGCTTCTCCCTCTGACCCTCCCCCCTCTCATGAGCTCTCTCTCTCATTCTCTCTCTCTCAAATAAATAAATAAAAAATCTTTTAAAAAAATAAAAACCTGGTATTTTTAAAATGAAGAGAGTCAGTGTAAGGCATTAAGGAAGGGTGGGGACTGTGGCAAACAAGAGAGTTCACCTATCAGTTTGAGTTTTCCCTTCACCACTACTCAGCTCCAAACAATTGTTGCCAGGTAACGATAGGGTCCCATGTTGCCAGAACTTCTGGTCTTTTCTTTTCCAAGAGAAGCACAAATCAGAGTTTTAATGTGAAATTTTCTGAATTTAAGAATATTAGCAGTCAATTAATAGTTTAAAACTCGGGTGCCTGGGTGGCTCAGCCATTAAGCATCTGCCTTCAGCTCAGGTCATGATCCCAGGGTCCTGGGATCGAGCCCCACATCGGGCTCCCAGCTCAGCAGGAAGCCTGCTTCTCCCTCTCCCTCTCCCCCTGCTTGTGTTCTTGCTCTCACCATCTCTCTCTCTGTCAAATAAATAAATAATTAAAAAAAAAAGTTTAAAACTCATGAAAGGTGTCCCAAAAATCCTGATTGTGAGATGGATGCAGACCTGGGGACCACTAGATTACAAGCTCTGATTTGGTCTAAACCTTCCCTGCTATGTTTTCTCAGTTTGCCCCTCCAGACCCTGTCTCCACTCTTCTCCTCCCTGCCCTGAGCCCTGGGGTTAGACCTGGATGCGCAGCCTCAAAGAACTCTCCTACATTCTGGCTTCTGTGGGTGTGATGGTTAGCTTTCAGTGTCAACATGGCTGGGCCGCAGCCTCCAGCTATTTGGTCAAACATTATTCTGGATGTTTCTGTGAGGGTGTTTTTGGATGAGATTTACATTTAGATTAATGGAGTTTAAGTGAATCAGATTGCTGCCTCATAATGTGGTGGGCCTCATCCAATCAGTTGAAGGTCCGAATAGAACAAAAGACTGACTTCCCCTGAGCAAGAGGGAATTCTGCCGGCAGATTGCCTTTGGACTCTTGCCTGGGCATACATACATATATATTCCATCCTGTTGGTTCTGTTTCTCTGGAGAACCCTGACCAATAAGGTTGGGTTTGGTCATGGAGAGTGCTGGCAGGAGAGCCGAAGGAGGATGTAGAGAAAGATCCAGGGCAGCTTTCCCCTTTCAGAGTCATCAGGGGCTGTCTTGTAAGGAATAAAGGTGCCAGCCGCACATGGGCCTCAGTCCCTCAGAGCCTCGGCTGGGAGGTGCTCCTCCCTCCCTCCACCGAGGACTCACATTTTCCCTCGTGGTTTCCCTTACCCTCTGCCCACACCTTGGAACTAGACCCATTACTAAGCTGTCCTCAAATAACTAGTCTGTGTGCTTACTATTGCCTTCTGAGACCGGGACCCTGACTCTATGCACCCTTATCTCTCCAAAGTCCAAGACATAAAGGACCCGCCTAAGGTGACACAGCATGTTACGGGTAGAGCGAGGAGTCCAAAGTGGCTCACTGAACCCCTCGTTCAGTGGCTTTTATTCATCTTGTTTTTCATCTGCCATCACTGCTTCCAACCCTCTGCCCACTTGACTCTGTAAGTTCTTGATCTATGTGCCAGAATATGTATGTGTGTATCCGAACCTTCCGTATACCTGTTGTTCATCACTTCTGTGTGTTGCTGTGTTTTCCATGGTGAGCTTCCCCATGTTTCACTTAAATGCCATCACTCCCACCCCCCGAAGGTCACCTAGGTGGCCTCCAGCTCCTGGGTACCTCCAACAGCAGTGGCCCAAATATCCTCCTACATCGTCTCCGTAGGGACTATGGGACAATTCTGCTGGGATATGAACCCAGAAGTAGGAAAAGTGGGCCCCAGGGAATGCAGGTAATGAATTCTCCTAATTACTGCCATGTCGCTTGCCAGGCTGACCGTCGGAAGTAACAGTCTCCCCAGCAGCACAAGAGGGTGTCTGTCTTCTCCTGTTCCATCATCACGTCTTGTCCGCTTGCCTAGTTTCTGCCGGTCGGACTGGTGTGTTGTTGCATCTTGGTTGAACTTGCATTTATCTGATGACGAGTGGATTCGAGCATGACTTTATCGAGCTCTGGCCATCTTGACAGCCTGCTTTAAAATGGCACAGCTGTATCTCGCCCTCATCCTGCTCGCAGGTGTTACGGTACGAGCCTTCCACAGAGAGTGACCAAGCCTCCTCCCGTCTCTGTATGAGGATGTCACTCTTCCCACGAAGGAGTGGAACCTAGTTCCCTCCCCTTGAACCAGGCCAACTTTTGACTTGCTTTGATCAATAGAATGTGGCAGAGTTGAATTCTTAAACTCTCAAGCCCAGACTTTAAGCTTCTGCTTTTGCCTTCTGAGAAGCCCACTGTTGGGTTCAGAGGTTTGGGTTAGACTCCCTGGAGGCTCCACAGTCATCATGGACGTTCAAGTTCCAGCTAAACTCCCCGCTGAGTGACCCCGGCCACACCATGTAGAGCAGAGACAAAACAATCCCTGCAGAGCTCTGTCTAAATGTGGAAACATGGCATGCCTGGGTGGCTCAGTGGGTAAAACGTCTGACTCTCGATTTCAGCTCAGGTCATGATCTCAGGGTCATGAGATCGAGCCTCGAGTCAGGATCTGTACTGGGCATGGAGCCTGCTAAAGATTCTCTCTCCCCCTCCTCCCTCTCCCTTTGTTCCCCTCCCCTGCTCAAAGTCTCTCTCTCTCTCTAAAAAAAAATTTAAAATGCAGAAACATAAGCCAGTAAGTTGCTGTGTTCTAGGGCCTGAGTGTTGGGTGGTTTGTTATATAACCACAGTAACTAAAACAGGTATTTTGCTTTGTGTTTGTTCTTTCTGACTTCTGGATGTTCCTCTTATATTCCAGACATGAGTCTCATATATATTTCCAATGATCCTTACCACCCATGCCACCCAGCTTCCTCCCATGCCACCGTGAGCACGTGACTGACTCCTTCTGGTCTCATTCTAATGCCACCTCCTCAGAGAAGTCCTCCCTGACCACCCTGGTTGAAGTAACTTCTGAGTCAGTTTGTCACATTGTCCAATTTCATCTTCTTCTTAGCCCATATCATGACCCAGAGTCATTTTATTTATTTGTTTACCTGCCCACTGCCTATCTCCTCAGCTAGCATGTAAGTTCCACGTGGATGCGGACAGTGAATGAACACATAATCAGGTTTTAAATAAATATTGTTGAATGAATAAATGGAAGAAGGAGTGAGCAAAGAAATGAATGGGACAGACCATGGACCAGAGGGCAAGATTGCTTTCTCATAAATTTTAGTATAGATTCACTTATCAAATATTTACTGAGCACCTGTTATGTGTCAGAAACCATTCTAGGTACGAGAGTTATGGCACTCAACAAAATAAAGTTTGTATTCTGATAAGTTGGTATTCTAGAGGGAGAGAAAGTTAATAAACAAGAAAATACATGATCCAGTGGCCTGGTTTAACACTAAGAAGGAAAATATAGTGGAGTAAGGAGATGGAGAGTAATGAGAGCAAGATTTTATACCAGATGGTCAGGGAAGAGTCTCTGGGGAGGTGACATTTGAGCAGAGAACTGAATAAAGTGAGGAAATAAGCTCATAATTGGAAGCAAAGTGTTCTTGGTAACGGGAACAGCATGTGCAAAGGCCCTGAGGCAGGGCAGTATAAGCATGTGGTTGGAGTGGAGAGGGGAGAGCAGTAGGGAAGTGAAGTCAGGGAGGTCAGTTCCGTGGAAGCCCCAGCTCAGGAATTTGGCACCTTAAGGCTCTCTTATGCCGGGGTGCCTGGGTGGCTCAGTCGTTAACCGTCTGCCTTTGGCTCAGGTCATGATCCCCAGGTCCTGGGATTGAGCCCTGCATTGGGCTCCCTGTTCCGCGGGAAGCCTGCTTCTCCCTCTCCCACTCCCCCTGCTTGTGTTCCCTCTCTCGCTGTGTCTCTCTCTGTCAAATAAATAAATAAATTAAATCTTAAAAAAAAAAAAGAAAAGCTCTTTTATGCCCAGAAAGCAAATAATCTGTAGGCCCAGTATTGATTAACACTCTTTATTTTATAGCATTTTCAATCAGAACTATTTGAAATCACGATTCATCTGGTTACAAGTACCATGGGTTTCTCTGCGGATGGACTTCTCCCATCCCCTGTTCTCCACGAGTGCTGCTCCCAACCGCCATGGGCTGCAACTCTGATTGAATTCTAAAGTACTCACGTGGGAAGAGGTGAAGCCCATCCTCCAACTTGGGGGCTCCTCCTCTCTCCTCCCCGCTGCTCCCAGGGAAACATCCATGACTCACTCGTGCCATTCTGAGGACGAGTTCAGTCTCTGGGTGCCGCCGTCCCAGCCCCTACTGCTCAGGGAACTTCATCCCTCAGATATGTAGGAAGGGCAGACATGAGGCTTCCAGACCCCCCACGGGCACCTTAGCTAATGCTGGGTCACTCATTCCATATCCTGAGCTCCTGCTGGGCCTGATACTGTGCTGTTCACTGGGGATGCCCAGATGCTTCTGCTGGAAACAAGGAGGGATCAGATCTTCTAGGACAGCCCCCACCAGCCACTGGCTCAGGGGAAGTCTCCGTTGGCCCCCTCTGCAGAAGAAGGTTACTATATTTTGTCTGCCTGAGAAATTTTACCCTGGCCTTTTATGAGGCCTCAATGTATCTTCTGACTTTTTTTTTTTTTTTCCCTCATTCCTGAAAAATGTGGCCTTTGCTAATTAAACATGCTTACCCCTCGGGGTATGGGTAGGGAGGTAAAGACCAGCTGCTGGAATAAGGAGTAGCGGGCAACCACAAAGGCCCCCGCGGGCCACACGTAGGAGAGTCCTCGCTGAAAGGATGGTAAGGCCAGGGCTTGGCCTGACCCCAGAATTATGGTCAAACTGAATCAGATTGAACAGGAAAATCCTAAAAAGCTTAGGTAGAGATGTCAGCTGGGGGTTTCTAGAACTCCCCTGGTGTACTCAGGCCCCCAGAAGCGCAGCAAGGACGATTTGCACAGCCTCCCTGTCCTCAGGAGGTCATCTGTCCCTCCCCTGTCTCCAGGGATTGAAAGTAACCCCGGCTGCGGTGTACCGATAGGGGTCATAGTCAAACAACGGGCACAGAATGGGCACCGACCGAGCAGGACACACCGTGGTTGCAAACAGCTGGAACGCTGCGGCCCCAAAAGCCTCCCTGAGGAAGGTGACATCTAAAGGCAAGATGATCTCTCCAGAGTGTAACCTAAAGTAGGCCATGGGGGATGTTAGCAGTGCCCATAGGAATTGATGCCCCCCCATTCCAACTGTTTAAGTCAAATGCCATATTCCAGATTTGCTTCCTGTTGCTGAAATAGGGCTCTCTTGCATCCTAGCCATGGAACAGCTCAGAGATAAAGGAGCTTGTTTTTCTGGCAGCGGATCTGGGAGATATCTGGGCCCTGACCTCCATGAAAGAGAAGGAGAAGGTGTCCTAGATAATGAGCCTGTGGGCCCAAGTGGACCACTGGAGGTCACTCTTGCTTGCTGCATACTGGATCACGAAAAGAACTGCTCGATTGTCCTGTAGAGTCCTAGCAGCAGGTGATGGCAGAAGCCTTCTGGGAGGGCCCGGCCCAGAGAGAGTCCCGGAGGGGGACTCAAAGGGTCCGAAATGTGTCGTTGGCCAAAGTGGATGGCAGTGCTGTGATGTTGGCTGAGTGGATGTCGGCCCAGTCCGGGAAGGTGCCCAGCTGGAAGATGGTCTGTGCCCAAGTATTCATGGCCAAGCTGAGCAGCAGGACACCCATCAGGTTCATCAGGAGGCCTGTCCGCACCTGAAATGGAGCCCAGGTGAAGGGAGGGATCAGCTCAGAGCCCATTGTACAGATGGGAAAACCCACGCCCAAAATCAGGAACTCACTCACTCAAGATCTCCCAGCTGGGAAGTGATGGTTCCAGGACACAGATCCAGGCTGGTGTATGCCCAAGACCCTTCCATCTTTACGTACCCTAGGCTGCCCCTTGGAGAGCTAAAATGTCCCCATCCGCCGAGTGGTTCTAGGGGCCAGGCACTGTGCTGTGTAGGTGTCGTAGAGACATGCCATCCCTATGACACCCTCGAAGGGTGATTATCATTACTTCCCCTTTACGGACGAGGCAAACGAGGCTCCGAGAAGTGGGCTTACCCAGGTCCCACAGCTTGAAAATAATCTGGTTTGATCGATGACACACGTACACACTCACACACACACTCATACACACTCACACCTATCCACACTCCGGGTCTACTTAAGGCTATACTTTTTTGTTGTGAGGCATTTGTCTTACAGGAATTCTGACCTTTTTAAGTAGCTAGAACAAGTCTGCCTGTTTGCTTTTTCCCCAGGCTAACCTCTTGCGCCATTCAGTCCAAACGGGCTGAAAATCTCTGTTTCTCATCCGGGTTTTCTGGTTGTTTGACCTTAGCATTGCTCAGCTGTGAACTGCGCGGTGAGAGAGTCACTCCCTTTTCAATCCCTTTTTGAATCTATTCCTCCCATAGAAGGTCTCCCTTAGGTGCTGTCATGCCCTTAACACTTCTCTCTTCCTTGCCAATTGCCCTCCTGAGCAAGCAGGGGTTCCGAACCTTCTCCAGGTCATCGGTTTCAGGGCAAATGTAATTATTTTGCTTTTTTTGTCTGTGCCTTTTTTTTAGACTTACCTTCTACGGCGTACAATACCAGTTTTCCATGCCCAGATGCGTCAGAAACTCTTCTCTTTAAATACTCTTATTTAAAGTGTTTTAAAAAATGTAAGTTGAGGGGCACCTGGGTGGCTCAGTCAGTTAAGCGTCTGCCTTCGGCTCAGGTCGTGATCCCAGGGTCCTGGGATCGAGCCCTGCATCGGGCTCCCTGCTCAGCAAGGAGCCTGCTTCTCCCTCCCCCTCTCCGCCTGCTTGTATTCTCTCTCTGTCATGTAAATAAATAAAAATCTTTTTTAAAAAAATGTGAGTTGATTTAGGAGAATTGTTACATCAATATTGCCACGGATGGCCCGCAGAAAGGGCGTCAGTCGTGAAGGGAGTACGCCCAGTGACAAGGTCCAACTGCCTTATGCTGACCTGCCTCTGCAGAAGAGCCCTGGTGACTTCGGAGGATCAGAAGGGGACTGGCCAAAGCTTTGGGGTGGCTGGGAGGAGGGCTGGGCTCCTGGGAGCCTGGCTCCAAATGCCTGCTTTGTCCCACATTCGTCATGTCAACGACCTCCACCATCACTCTTGGGAGCAGAGCCTGCAGGTGGGCACGTGGATCCAGACTGGCTCTGACATGTCTGCCCCTCTGTGCCCCCTTGTACCCCTCGGCCTCTTCCCGTCCCTCGCGATGTCTCTCCATTTCTCTCACTGTCCCCTTGTTCTCAGGATGGGCCTTAGGTCGCATCTCTGCCCTCTTGCTGCCTTCCCTAAGCGGCCTCCCCATTCCACACTCAGCCCCAGCCCCCAACGATCCACTTCACCCTGCAGCCACAGTGATCTTGGAAAGGCAGGAGTCAAACCACGTCACTGGGAAGTAGGGAAGCTGAAGGGACTCCATTTTAGAAAGGCTCCGCCTCGGCTGTTTTCCTGCCAGGCCCCGTTTACTGTCGTTCCATACTTTGCCCCTGAATAAGCCAAAGAAGCTGTGTTCCCACTTCGAGGGGGAAGCATGAAAGTGAATTAGTCTCTGAGTTCTGTCCTAGCCCCTAAACACCTGATAACATCTAAGAAGAGCCAGATCCCAAACACATTCCAGGACATCAGCTTCCAACAAACCCCGGCTGACGGTGGCATCCATACCCCGACCTCCAGTGATTTCTGGAATAGCCTATGGTTCACCTGACTCTCCCTTTGATGGGACCCTACAGTGGATTCCTGAAGGCAAACGATGTTCCCTAGACCCTTTCCCAATGTGAACCCCTAACCCCAAGCAAGGATGAGACTCATTCTCTCCTCTCCGAGTCTCCCAGACACTCCATCTACTACTCTCTGTCACTCACGCTATTCAATAAACTCCGTTTTCACTTTCTCTGGCTCACGTTTGATTTCTGTCCTGCGTGAAGCCAAGGACCCTCTTGGCTGGTCCTGTGGGACCTTCCCCTGGGTTCTCGGACCCAGCCTGCCTGCATGGATGGCCCTGCTCAAATACCTTTTAAGTCTTTCCACTGTGAGCCGCATAAGATCCCAAGTCTGTGCCCTGCATGCTCTGCACCCTTCCCCTCCCCCAGGCCTCTGGCCTCATCCTCCCAACTCCGCTCCAGGCACACCAGCCTCCTCCTTCTCTCTCTGTTTGCTCTGTGACCTCTTTCTGTCTCTCATTCTTGCCCACCGCCTCCCTCCCTTCCCCTCCGAATTATCCTGCTTGAGTCTCTGCGCCTGGAGAGACTGGACCAGGAAATGGTTTACACCAGTTTAAGATTTGCATTCCCTGAGTGCCCCCAGGCAGCCAGTGGAGGGGAAGTGACAGGGGAAGGCAGGAGGAGGGAGGGAGGAGCGGGTTCAGCAGGCGAGTGAGGGGAGAGGGACCTCTCCAGGCCCCCCAGGGTGCGAACTGCTGCTCCTCTCTCCTACAGATTCCAGGCACGGAGCCGTTGGCTGAACAAGTAAGAAAAGAGACCAGTGCCCAGAGAGAGAAGGAAGTCCCTTGTCCCTGAAGTGGACTCTGGAAAGTCATCACTAAGGCAGTGTTTCCCGAAATTGTCTAAGCGTAAGAATCACCCCAGAGTGTTTGCTAAAACCAACCTAGATGGTCCGGCCCCCACTCCAAATGACTTATTCAGAGACTAGGGGGGCGGTTGGGGGTGGAGGAGCAGGGGCCCTGCCCAGGTGTCTTGCCCAGCACCTGCTGGCCGCCCCCTCTCAGGCCTCTGCTAGGTCGAGCCCCGACTCACCATGTCTTTGACCAGCAAGTGTCCGGAGGCGAAGGCAATGGAGTTGGGGGGTGTTGAGACCGGGAGCATGAAGGCATAGGAGCAGCCGACTGTGCCGGGGATCATCAGGTACAGGGGGTGCACTCTCAGGCGGATGGCCTGGTCCGGGTGCAGGAGAGACCACGACAGGGAAACAGAGAGAAGCCACCGCAACAGATGGAGATGGTTGAAAGCCACAACCACAGACAGAGACAGAAAGAGACACGACAATAGAGACGTACAGACAGAGATGGGCAGAGCGGCCAAGAACAATTGCAGTGGATGAGGAGACAGGTTTAGGGACACACAGAGAGACATGCAGCCAGAAACGCAGATCCACAGGCAAAAGCAGAGACAGAAACGAAGAGAACCCAAACCAAGAGACACACGGAGAAGACATTCCCAAGGTTAGTGACATTCCGGGGCCGCAAGCTTGGGCTGGGGAGATTTTTCTAGAACACACCTTCTCCAGCCTGAGAGTGTATCATCAGACCTGGAGGACTCGCTAAAACACAGCTTGCTGGCCCCACTTCCCCCAGAGTTTCTGATTTGGCAGGTCTGGGGTCACCCCAGGAGCCTGCGTTCCTCACAAGTTCCCAGCTGAGGCTCTAACATACCGGGTCCCCTGTCTGGTCCTTCCCTCAGCCAAACAGTCCCCATAGCCAGTCCCCGGGCACCTTTAGTTGGGGCATCACCAGATTTTGGAGACACAGAGAGTTCGAGATTGCATCTGTTGAGAAGCTTTTCCCAATTTCTAAGACCGTGTGAATCAAATGCATCTGTGTGTTGGCCTCATTCAGTGGGCTGGTTTGTCACCTCTCCCAAATGATGTATTCATCTACAATTCATTTTGGTCTCCTCTCTACTACTGTATTTAAGATAGGACATTTTTTGGCCCCTCGAGGGAATTTTGATAACCCAAAGCATATACATTTTCTCAAAAAGTGCTAAATTCACTCCCTGACATGTAAAACGTTTTGGTTTTGATGACAAGCACCATTTAGAACACTGTGCCATTCACTAGTGTCTTCTCCAGCAAAAGTTGCCCCAACAGACCTGGCTGGGTCCACGCTTCTCCTCCCCGACACCCCACAGCGCCCCCATCTCTCTCAATCATCTGCTCCCTCAGATCCTGGGGAAGGGTGTGAGTCAATCAAATCACACTTGGCAAGGTTTGGGGACCCCCCCACCCCACGCTACTGGTGGGGGTGTAAAATGACGTGCCCACTTTAGGACAATTTGCCCACATCTAGCAGAATCATAAATGCACATGCTCTTCAATCCAGGGATCTCATCCAGGCATGTAAGCAAAGGTGCACAGACAACGAAGGGTCCAGGAGGTTTTGCTGGTGACAGCAAAGGTTGGAAGCGACCTACGTGTCCCTCAGTAGAGATCTTAAATAGACCCACCGCTATCCACTCGTAACAGAATATCCTCCAGCCACTGAAAAAGGATAAAGTACATCTCTGTATGCTAACACAGTGTGATCGCCATTACAAATTCATGCAAAAATAAGCCAACTAAAACCAAAAAAAGTGGCTCAGATAAGTGTGCCTGGTATATCACGTTGACATACAAAACGTGAAGTTGCCACACTGATTTAATGTGATCAGTTCTGGATTCTATTAAGATAATCATATGGCTTGGTCTTCTTTAATCTATTTAAATAGAGATCTCTGCTGACCGCTCCTAGTGGTAATCGGTTTTGAAATTCTGAACACAAACTCTATTTGATCATGATATATTGGTCTTTTCACATGATTCTTAGATTTATTTTGCATTTTATTTATTTGCATCTTTGTTCATGTGTGAGATGGAGTTGTGACTTTTTTTTCCCCTTTGCTGTCCTTCTTTGGTTTTGGTGTCTGGGTTTTGTTCACCTTACTCCTGGATTGGACGGCTTTCTCCATTATTATTTCTCCATTATTCTGTGCTCTGAAATAGCGTGAGTAAGGTGGGAGCTAGCTGTTCTTTGCAGGTTTGCTAATTCTCACCTAGCCGACCCTCTGAGGACTGGCTAGTGATTTTTAGGGTGGTGGCTCTCAACGGGGGATGGTTTTGTCTCCCCCACCAGGGGACATTTGCCAATGTCTGGAGGCATTTTTGATTGTCATGGTTTAGCCAGTGCTACTGGTACCTAGTGGATAGAGGCCAGGGATGCTTCTGAACATCCTACAACGTACAGGACAGCCCCCCACCCCAGATAATTTTTTGGCCCCAAATGCCAATAGTGCTGAGAAACCCTTCTTCAGAGGGAGCTTAGAACTTCACCTACCATTAGAATTTCTCCTGTGGTTATTTGTCTACTCAGATTTCCTACTTTGTCTTAATCCACATTTGAAAATTTGTATTTTCCTAGGAAAGTCTCCAAAGGAAGAAAATTTGGTACACTTTGAAAGTATTTACTCTGCGTATTTCTTAAAGAAAAAAATCAGGGTCTGACACTTGCATGCATTTTGGAAGAGAGAAAAGGCCCCTGTAGCCGGGACGGAGCTCCTCATGGCGGGGGAGAGATTTCTGAAGCCTCCCCCCCGCTTCCCACTCTCACCAGCTCTGCCAGGACAGGCAGGAAGATGATGATAGTGGCCGTGTTGCTGGCAAACTCGGTGAAGAAGGCGATGACAACAGTGATGAGCAGCACAGCCAGGGCCGGGGGCACGTTCTCCAGGGGGTGCAGCTGCCCACCGATCCACGCCGACAGCCCCGACTCCTGAAGGGGGGGGGGCATCTGTTCACACCCGCGCCCGGCCCCAGCCGCCATCCCCAGGGGCTGGGTCCAGGGGGGAGGTTAGGATGGACCACCATGATGGCAACAGTGACAACCATACTCCTTCACAGATGGGGAGACTGAGGCTCAGAGAGGGTCAGTGACAGGTCCAAGGCCACACATTCAGCCAACTGGCGTCAGCTTCTCTGCTTCTTGAACTGCTCTCTACTCCAACTCTGTAGGCCCAGGACCCAAACCCCTTTGTTCCCCAAATAATCCAATTGGCTCTAGCACCCCTAAGCTCCAACTTGAGTGAGAGAGGAAAACCGGACCCTCCGTGGGTGGTGATGAATGACAAAAATATTAACACAATTGTGTATACAAAATATTCATTAGTAATCTGATCATTATCATATAATAATATATACAAGATATACTATATATCATCTATAAAACCTTTATCAGATATACGTTAAATACAGCACTATCAAAATGATTATCAACAATAAAGATATTTGTGAGTAATGATAAGGATGATTATTACAATGATAACGCAACATTGTATTATTACTTATTTTATCGTAAGAATCATCACCCCTGAGGCTTTACAGGTTGCTTGGCTCCTGCATGCATTACCTCCTAAACCCTTCCCAGCCTTTCTGGAAGGCAGACATTTGTCTCTGTGTTACAGGGAAGGAAACTGAGACTGGCAAAGTTTTTGTGACTTGCCTATGGTCCCCAAAAGTAATAACCTGAAATATATTTCACACTGAGGGCCATGTACTTCTTTTTTTTAGATTGTATTTATTTATTTGAGAGAGAAAAAGCATGGGCGGGGGAGAGGCAGAGGGAGAAGCAGATGCCCCACTGAGCCCAACACGGGGCTCGATCCCAGAACCCCGGGATCATGACCTGAGCCGAAGGCAGACGCTTAACCAACTGAGCCACCCAGGGCGCCCCAGTGCCATGAACTTCTGTAAGCAAACATGGGCCTGCAAAACTCCCTATCACTTGGGCACCATCCTCTGGATGCACCAGTCTGTCACTGCCCCCCTTAATGAAGGGTGATGCCCAGAGCCGACGACAGCCCTCCAGGACAGAGAAAGACAGGTTAGATCGTTCCCTCCCTGGCTCCGGACTCTACCCCGCCCTCAGTGTTGCAGAATTCTCTCCATGCTCTCTCTGCTGACTTCTCCAGGAGTTACTCTACGTAGGAGTATTTAAATACTTAATCAAGTGTGTGCTTACCATAGCCCTTTTAGCAACCCAGTATCCTTTGATCCTGATACACTTGGGTTTTTCAAAGAAACTTTATACATTTCTTTTATGTTTGATAGAAATGTTACTGCTTATCTAGAACTTAAAATTTCATAATGGATTCTAGAACACAGCATAATGTTTTTACATAAATAAAATACTACACCTGGGGGCGCCTGGATGGCTCAGTCGTTATGCGTCTGCCTTCGGCTCAGGTCATGGTCCCAGGGTCCTGGGATCG